CGTAAAGGTATGGATTATATTGAAGATGTTCAAGAAGATATTCCAACATTAAACCAACATGAAGTATTAATTAAAATTCATGCTTTTTCACTTAATTATCGTGATTTACTTATTATTAATAATAAATATCCATTTTCATTAAAAGACAATATTGTTCCATATAGTGATGGTTAGGATATTTAATTTTAGTTTTTTTTTTTTTTCTTAAAAATATAAAAATTGTAAATGTTTTTTTGTTTTTGTTTTTGTTTTTTTGTTTGTTTATGTGTAGGTGCTGGTGAAATAGTTGAAGTTGGTGATCAAGTTATTGGATTTAAAAAAGGTGATCGTGTTATATCAAATTTTGATCCAACTCATTTATATGGTCCAAGTCAAAGTTGGTCTTATGGTTTTTAGGTGGACCAGTTGATGGAATGTTGACTCAATATAAATCTTTACCATATATTAGTTTAATTAAAATTCCTGATCATTTATCATATGAACAAGCTGCTTCACTTGTATGTACAGGTACAACAACATGGAATGCATTACATGGAAATAATAGACTTTTACCTGGTCAAACTGTTTTATTACAAGGTACTGGTGGTGTTTCATTAACTGGTTTAATGTTAGCTAAAGCTGGTGGTTGTACAACAATAATAACATCATCTGATGATGAAAAATTAAAACAAGTTAAAGATAAATATGGTGCTGATTATACAATTAATTATAAAAAACAGCCAAATTGGGATGAAGAAGTATTAAAAATAACAAATGGAGAAGGTGTTGATATTATTCTTGAAAATGGTGGAGCTGCAACTATTGGAAAATCGTTAAATTCAATTAAAATGGGTGGAATTATTGCTTGTATTGGATTTTTAGGTGCTGCTCTTAAACCAGAAAATCCTGATGTTGCTTTATTAGCATTAGGAAAAAGTTGTATTGTTCGAGGAATTATTATTGGTTCACGTGAACAAACCGAACAATTAATGAATTTAGTTGATCAAAAGAAATTAGAACCACCTGTTCATAAAGTTTTTAATTTTGATCCAACATCAGTTAAAGAAGCTTATCGATATTTAGAAAGTCAAACTCATATGGGAAAAATTTGTATTAAAATTGATTAATAGATTAGTTATTTATTATTATTTAAATAAAAAAAAAGAAAAAGAAAATGATTTATTAAGAAGATTGATTTTGTTTTAATTCTTTTTTATATTTATTTATTTCGATTTTTATTGTTTCAGGATCATTATCAATAATCCATTTATGAAATTGTTCATCTGTTTTAGGAAAACGTCTTTCGAAATTTTCCATATGTAGACGAATCATATGTTTTTTATTATCAATAACAGAAAAAATCTTCCATTATATTTATCTTTTAA